TCTGTGTAATCCAGAAAACATCTGCCTTTTTAGTCGCATACAATCCCGGATCAACGATAATTGGCTTTGCCCTTTGGAACCTTCAAAATCAGGAGTCAAGTTTAACTCACATAATTAAACCCTTAATTCTGAACCAAAATTAGAATTACGAAAGCATTTCTTTTGTGGTGCAGATAGAATAACTTACTCTTTCCATCCAATTTTGCTTGTATGATCAATGAAGTTAAGATCCCGGGGCAAATACGAAAATGTATGAAGCAGATCTAATCAAACAAGAAAAAAAACAAATCAACATCCTCAATAAATCCCATTTAATCAAAGGTGCAGTAGCTATACCAGGTGAAATCAGAATTAAACTAATCTACAAGAAAATGGCTTTACCATCTTGAGTAACAAGTGGGTAATCAGAGGCGCTGAGATTAATGAACCAATCCCATTCCCCAGCTTCCTTGAGCAAAATAGCAGCGGCGTGAAGGGTATTAGCAACCATAGTAGGACCCCGGTAGGTGACCAGATTAGCTTTAGTAATCATCCGAACATTCTTGAATTGGATAAAAATTGGGTGATTGGTAACAAAGTTATGCAGATCGAGACGCTCCTCAGGTGAAGATTCAGCATCGAGATGCACTACGTACTGATTGTTTGGGTGATAAAGAGCTTGAAGGGTTCGCTTCAGCATGTTGCCATCGCCGGCAGAACCTGAAACCAGGTAGGCGAAGCGAGGGGGTGGAGGAACAGTGGAGATAGGTAAAGGTTTAAGCTTTGATTCAACAAATACATTAGCTGCGGAATAGGATGAATAGTAACGGTAAAGGGGCAAAAGAGGAGTTCCATCTGGTGAGGTTAGGGTTGTTAGAAACAAGAGAAAAAGGGAAACAATGGAACCTATAGCAAGTGGAAAGATCCACTTCCTCTCGATTGTTGTTGGGTGTCTAAGGTGCAGATAATAGGTTTTCAACTTCTTCATTTCAATCTTTTCATCAACAAACAAACAGAAGAATAAAAAGATTGAAATGGGGTTTTTCAAGCTGATCTCTAAACAACAAATGCGGTGTAGCGGCGGAGAAATTGCGAAGATGTCATTGTTCTAAATCAAACACAATTACAATAATTGCGTAATTAGAACAAGAAAATTCCAAGATTAACTGTATACAACTACAGAAAATTAATAATATTTGTGTGTATGCTATATATTTATGGTTGTTAACAGTGGTGGAGTGTAGTTAGGTGGAAAAATGAAAAATGGAAGTCGTACTTAACTGCTGCAAAAATAATGGAGGCCGGCAAACGCAGGGGAGTTATGTTCCTTATCACTTCATAGTTTTTTTTCTTTTTTCCTTCTTCGATTTGTGTACAGCAGCACTAATACTAAGATTTACATCTTCTATGGTTATTTAATTAATAGTTATATATTTTTAATTTTAAAAAAATAGAATATTATTCTATATAATAATATTTTAAAAAATTATAAATAAAGAGGTAATTTTATTATATTACCTTTTAAATATAATAGTAAATACAATGTCTTGAAAATTATAATAGTGAAGTGATTATAATTAATAATAAGGATAAATTAGGAATTAAATGTAACTATCTATTGATTTCATAAAATCAATAAATATGGTTGAATATCATAAAATAGTATATTGAACAACTATCGTAAAAGGAAGGAAATACTATTTCATAACTATTAGCATTAATTAAGTGACTATGTAAAAAGTCAATATCGAAATTTATTGAACTTTACTTTTATATAAGGAGGATAAGCGATAAAAATAAATTAAAACTTTTTATTAAAAGCAATATAGAGATAAATTTTAGATCTAAATTTATCAGTCAAAGTATGAAATCTCTTTTTTGTATTATCAGTAACGTGTAAAATTTGAGTCAAACTATTAAATTTGTTAGTATTAACTTACCTATTAAATTTGTACCCCTCAAAAATTAACTATAGATAAATGCTTACGAGGGTGAAGTTGAATATCTGGAAAAAAAAAGCTAAATTAAAATGGATATTGAAATTCGTTAGAAGTTAGAAATTTCAATTTTAAATCTGTTGTTTAGATATTATTAATAAAACTTTTAAAATTTGATTCAATTACTGATTATGAACTCATAACATAAAGGTTAAATTTGCCCTGCCTAAAAATAACTATACATAAATATGTATTCCATAATGAAATGCATATAATTAATTAAATTTACTCTTTCATATTAGATTTGTTTTGCGTGTTTGAAGTGTCTACGTGACAAGGGAATCATTTCATGACTTGTGACGTGTTAGCTTCCTTGAGTAATCTGGAAGTCTTTTTTTTTCTTTTTAAAAACATATATATATATATATATATATTAAATGTTCTATATTTGTATTACGATCCGACTAGATTTAAATATGGAAAAATTACTTAAATACACAACACTTTTTTACATATTTTCAATATTTCCCTACTCTTTTACTAAAATACAAAAATCCCTTATTTTCCCCCAATTCAACTTAACTGGATACTTTATTAGTTTAAGTATTCGCCCGTTATTAATTAAAGTATCTGTGCTGCTATATTATGCATCCGCCCGTTAATTAAGTATCTGTGCTGCTAACAACTTAATAATTTAAGTATCTGCGCTGCTATATTATGCATCCGCCCATTAATTAAGTATCTGTGCTGCTAACAACTTAATAATTTAAGTATCCGCCCGTTATTAATTAAAGTATCCGCACTGCTATATTAAGTATCCACACTGCTATATTATGTATCCGAAAAACACTAAAAAAGGGATTTTTGGTAATTAATGAAAAAGTAGGGAAAGGAAGTAATTTCTTTCTTATACTATGTCATTTGCCTAATTTTTACTTATTAGATTTGTGTACCATTGGGCTTATTCCGAAGGCAATCCTCTTAACATGACATTTCTATTCTAAAAGTAAAATCTGAAATCTCTAACTAAAAATAGATAAATTTCAATCATTTATCATAACATATTATTTTTATTTATGGGGAATGTTTCAAGCTATTTTTGTTTTTAGTTTTAAAAAATATTTGGCCCCAATGCCGGCCCATGCTGCGGAATTGGTATAGTTGGATTTTGTAGTTATTTGATGTTACAACTTACGTCTTACAACAATTGGATAAGGAAAAATTGCTATTTCGTTTCAACAATTTTTTTTTGAAAGATATGGTTCTAAATTAAAATTATGTAGAATAAATAAAAATATCTTAAAGTTGAAATTAAAGAGTTTATATATATATATATATATATATATATATATATATATATTAAAAGAAAAAGTAAGACAAATAAATTGAATGAAAAAAATATAATTAATCAGTAAATCGTAACATAATTGGTTATAAGTTATAACTAAATACATATCTCAAAAAGGACACTTCATCAAGTTACAAGTATATGATTAGATCTACTCAAATAATCAGGGGCTCGAGAGGAAAAACAAAGGAGATTTTTCAAGGGTTAAAACAATAAAGAAACTACTAATTTGAAGTATATTTGACGATAGAAATTGTGGTATAGCGTATTTAAAGAATCAAAGGAACTTTATTTGACCAAGAATTTTTCAAATATTTTGATTTGTATTACTTTAATCTAGTTAATAAATATGTAAAAAAATAAATAGAATAATTTTTTTTTGAGTTTATATGTGATCTTAATATTCTGAATCAAATAACATAGATTAAAATGAAATTAATATTTTTTTATTTTTGATTTAAACATAAATGTATCCACTATTAATGTTTTTGAAATAATCACACTCAAATGTGTAGCTTAGTGTGATCAATAAAGTGGGAGGAGGAAGAAGAATCATGAGATTTTAATAAAAATAAAAATAAATTGTTAATTTCTTCTTATCTATTTAAGTCGACATTACAAGTATAAAAAGGATTTTTTTAAAAAATCTTTAGTATTTCCTTAAAGAAAACTTCCCTCACTCGTTTTAAAATGCAGTGGCACAAATAGCTTGTAAATTATGATGATTTTACTTTCTAAGTTAACTTTGTTTCTGAATTAATTATCTTCTTTTTATCATGTTAGATTGGTCCATTGTCCATACATTAGAAAACCAAGTCTTTTTTCTCCCATTTTTTTAACTAAAAAACTATTGAGGCAAATATCACATATTTGAAACTCGATAAATAATAAGTTGACTCATATATTCTTTTCCACTTAGATATCATATTCTCAATAAATAATAAGTTGACTCATACACCCTTTTCCACT